GTATATGTGATTGTGTCTAGTCTCATGATAACTGCATACAAATGAATGAGAGCGCTTCCGTGTCCTCCGCCTTGTATAAGCACATACGTGCTTCCTTCACTCTGCTGTTTAATTAACTAACGCGTGTGTCAAATGCAATATGTATACAAGAAGTTTTTGATCTTATCCTTGCACCTATTCCTCAGTAGTACCCTAACTTTCAGTAAGTGATCGTTTCATCTTCCTGTTTTCTCCGAGGAAGCATTCCGATAGTTTGTGGTCCCTAATCATTAACAGTCTTCTTTACCCAGCATTGTTCTATCAAGAAATGCTGCCAGCTCTGCTTTAGAAGTGCATTCCCACTGTCAATACTTTCTTCCACTTCCCACCACGCTTACCTTTCTCATTCTTAATACTCTCCTTGGCTCTAAACTTGCTCTCTGTAGTCAGTATTCAGTCCAGCAGCCAGAAGGGTTCCAGTAAGTTATGACAGCTCGTGCCACTCCTTCGCTTAGGACACCCCAAATCCTTATAATGCCACAGGGAATCTTCGTGAGTCTAGGCCATTCCCTCTCCCTCCCGTACTGTACTGCGGGGATGACCTAGCCTGGTTTCCTGCACTTCCTTCTCTGCCCCAGTTACATCATCCACCTGCCGTTTTCCTGACTGTCATCATGGGCTTTTTGGTGGGTATTGTTGCTTCAAACTCAAATGCCTTTCCTCAGTGAAGGGTTTCTGGTGAGATTACCAGCGTTTACCTTCTTAGAGAGAACCTTCTTGGCTGTAAAATAAAAGTCTTGATTCCATTGCTCTTCTCTTCTTATCTCTCAGCTTTTTTGCATTGGCCGTTTTCAGGGTATGCCAGTCTTCTGTTGCTCTCCCATTTGTGTATGCAAGCAGGGATGCCTGTTGTCCGGTGTTGGATCCTTGGCGCATAATCAGCACTTTCACACATTGCGCTTAGTACTGGTAGTTGAGAAAGCCCAGGAGCATTCATTCTTAAATGAAGAATGTGATTCAAGTTATATTGCAATCGCCGGTTCTATGGACAAATGAGATGCCTTCTGGTGGGGTTTGTCTGTTTATGTTTATATCATCTTTTCTACGCGTTTCACAGATTATAGTGGTGTTTCACATTTAGGATAATGCTCAGACAGTACTCTTGGTGTAAAAATGTAGGACACTATTACTGTTTTGAAGATTCTTTTTATGGGAACAATTACGTTTTGTTTTTTTGACATAGACATCTGGCCCTCAGTTACATTAACAAACCTTACACACATGAGTGGAAAGAAGAATGACCCTTTTAGAGTCCATGTTAAGACTTTATCGGTATACAGGGCTTCCCACAGGTTCTACCGAGAGAAGCAGACTTCCACCGTAGTGAAACTGCACTCATTTTACATGCTGCTTTTGTACTTGAAAGCTATTTTTTGATGTTTTGGTCTGCAATTATATTTATTGTTCAGTGTGACAAATATGCAATGTTGACTAGACAAAGTTGGCAAAATCTTTTATCTATTCAGCATTACACAAAGATAAATGGAGAATTTTTAACAATAAGATATCAAGGCCAAAATTTGTTCCCAGATGTACATAATCTTTTAATTAATCTACTGTTTTCTTTTTCCAGGCAGTAGGCACCTAGCCTGTGCTTGCACCATTCTGCCATCTAGGATTTTTCTTCTTCTTCTTTTTTTTTTTTGCTTTGATAGTTTTATTGAGAAACAAATAGCAATGAGACAGTTTCAAAACTGATTAGTAGGACAATTTCAATTATTAATACATTGCATATTGTTGTCGTCTTAGTAGTTATTCATAGTACAAGATGCAGACATGATAGCCTGTCCATAAACACTATTAGTACAAATCTTTCTATTCATCGAATTAAGAGAAAGTGGCTGCATATTTTCTCTTTTCTTTCTTCCTCCCTGCCTGCATCCCTGTCTCCCTCCCTCCCTCCCTCCCTCCCTCCCT